CAATCAGGCCCACAAAACCACTGTCCTGGCTGAGACCACTGCACCCCGCCCTGCTGCCTCTCCCCCAGACTCCCCGTGGAATTCTGGGTTCTCCCTTCCCCAGTATTGCCTCCCATGAGAATTCCTATTCCACACTCACAGGACCCTCCCACTGCCACCTTCCCTCCTCTCTTTGACCTACTCCATTGTATCCAGCAAACGCTGATACGATGTGTGCTGGCCCAGTGCTGGGTTGTGGGGTAGGGGGCAGAGCAGATGATGAACAAGACCCAGAGTCCAGCCCAGCCGGTGTGGCTGAGTAGTTGAGGTCGCTGGTTCAATTCCTGGTCAGGGCACACGCCTGTGTGCTCAATCACCAGTAGAAGGCGTGCAGGAGACAGCCAATTGATGTTTCTCTCTCATTGCCTTATCTTTTTTTTAATATATTTTTATTGATTTCTTTGGGGGAGCGGTTACAGTGTTTGGACAGGTTCAAGCCTCAGACTAATGAGAGGGCACAGTCCTCTCATGGCCACGTGCAAGTCCCAGCTGGAGGGCAGAGCCCTCCCAGCACAATTATAGCCAACAGCTATGGTTGTAAGCTTGAACCTATGATCCGAACACGTGGCCCCACGTGCCTGAGAGATGTAGGCTTGATAGAGTTCAGGTGCATGTAGTTGAGTAGATTCAAAAACCACGAGAATGTTGTAAACATCTTGACCACGCCCTTTCTTGGCCTCATGGAATCTGGCTATAAAATAAAGACACAGCTTGTAGTCTGTGGCGCTGTCACTGTCTCTCCATCAGAGAAGACAAGTCGCTGGTTCAATTCCTGGTCAGGGCACACGCCTGTGTGCTCAATCACCAGTAGAAGGCGTGCAGGAGACAGCCAATTGATGTTTCTCTCTCATTGCCTTATCTTTTTTTTAATATATTTTTATTGATTTCTTTGGGGGTAAGGCGCCCAACGTGGGGCTGAGTATGCCACGGCCGTGCCAACTCACCACAGATTTCAGAGAGGAAAGGAGAGGGAGAGAGAGATAGAAATATCAATGATGAGAGATTACATGCCTCCTACTGGGGATCAAGCCTGCAACCTGGGCATGTGCCCTTGACTGGAATCTAACCCGAGACCCTTCAGTCCACAGGCCGACGCTCTATCCACTGAGCAAAACCAGCTGGGGCTCATTGACTTTTCTATCTCTCTCTCCCTTTTCCCTCCCCTTCTTCTCACTCTAAAAATCAATAAAAGCATTTTTTTAAAAAGACCCAGAGCTCACTCTCCAGCTGCAATAAGGGTTTAACATGTCTAAAGCTGGGCCTGCAGTCACTTCTTCATACGGTGTCCCATTCAAAGACATATGCTCATCTCCAGAAGAAAAGGGTGTCTATCTCTGTATCTCTGTTGCAGTTTTCTTCACCAATACCAGGCCATGGGGGAGAGTGGCAGCTGCAGGGAAGGGGCACCAGGATATGACCCCCAATGCACAGAGTCCCTGGAATCTTCTTTAACTCTATCAATCCCTCATATAAGATAGCGGTGCCAGATTCTCCTGTTCATTCCAAACCTTCCAAACCCATCCCAAGCTCAGTCATTACCTTCTCACGCCTGTTTTCTCTCTCCCAGGATAAGTCCAGCTAGCCTCTCCTACTCTCCGCCTGACCCACCACCCCTCGACCTGCAGAATAAAGGCCCAGAAACAAAGCCAAGAACAAAGGCTTCCCCCGTCCCTCTTTGATACCCCAAGAAATGAAAGGAGAAGCCCAGGATTTGAAGGAGAGCGGGTTTCCAGTGCAACCTCTGGTCACTGGACAAAGCCTGCTGACCCTACACCAGCAGCACCTCCCACCCAGAGGGCAGCAGCAGCTCTGTCGTTCTCCCTGATGCCATTGGCCCCAAGAAGAAATGGTCCACAGTCCACATCCCAGGTTTGAAATATTTTGAATTAACAGCTGTTCACACTCTTACTCCAACCACCAAAACTTCAATCCCTTGGAAAAATTCTGAAGACTGACGTTTAGTGGCCACCCCTCCCCCCATACAATCAAGCTGTCCTGTGTGAAAGGTGGAAATCCAGGTTCAAGGCTGGCTGACTAGAGACCAAGGAAGACAAGCAGCAATCCCTGGAGGGGGCTGATCTCACATTTCTTCAACCACCTTGACACATCTATTCAACTATGTCAGGCCTGGGGGCAGGGAGAGAGCTGAACAGGACATGGAGTGAGCAGGAAGTCATATGAACTCTCTCCCCCCTTCCTCTCTCTATAAAATCAATCAATAAAACTTAAAGAAAAACACACATGCCATGAACAAGTTGACTGGATGCCAGTTTCCTCTCCTAAACACCTGAAGTAGTTCTTTTTTTTTGAAATTAAGTCACCATGACCATTGTCTTTAAAAAAACATTTTTTATTGATTTCAAAAAGGGAGAGGGAGAGATATAAACATCAATGAGAATCATTGATTGGCTGCCTCCTGCATGCCCCACCCTGGCAATTGAGCCTGCAACCCAGGCATGTGTCCTGACCCGGAATTGAACTGTGACCTCCTGGTTCATAGATGCTCAACCACTGAGCCATGCCAGCTGGGCATGAACAAAAATCTTAACCAGAGGAAAGAGCATCTGTTGGGCTGGGAGTGACCGGTGAAAACTGCAGAGGAGGCCTTGGAGCAGAACCTTGAAGAATGAGAATATTTGCAGGTAAAGAGAGTGACAGGTACAGGTGCTCCAGGAAGAGGGGATGGCCTGAAGGAAGGGGATGCCATGATCTGAGAACTTCGAGCCACACATTGTGACCAGAGTGCAGCTTGTGTGGCAGGAGAGGAGAAACAGCCTTGAATGTCAAGTTGAGGAGTCAAGGTTTTCTTCTCTAGGTTGACAGTCATTGATGATTTTATTTGTTTTAAATATATTTTTATTGATTTCAGATAGGAGAGGAAGAGATAGAAACATCAATGAGAATCATTGATCAGCTGCCTTATGCACGCCCCACACTGGGGATCGAGCCTGCAACTCAGGCATGCACCTTGACTAGGAATCGAACCATGACCTCCTGGTTCATAGGTCAACGCTTAACCACTGAGACACGATGGCTGGACTCATTGATGATTTTAAACTAAGGAAGTGACCTAAGTACATCTTTACTTTTAGAAGGCCTTTAGGAAGGACTAGCGAGGGGAAACATGAAGACCAGTTGGGCAGTTGTTGCATCCTTCAGGTGAAAAGGGGCTGCCTAAACTAGGATGTGGCAATTAAGGAGATGCGTGATGAGATCACAGCGGAAGTGAGATAACATTGCAGTCAAAGTCCTCTTGGAAACCTCTTGGGAAGGGGCTTCATTAGGGAACAAGGACAACCCCGCTAGTGCCTCTTCAGAACTAGAATCAAGGCTTGTGCCTTCGAGCACCAGGTGAACATGTTGGTCTTCAGAACCCACGTGGCACCAACAGGCACTGGAAGCATTATGCACAAGCTGCTGGAGGGAGCGGCTGGAGGGAACCAAGAAAGGCAAAGTTCACTTTTCCCATCTCGTCTTCCATCAGGCGGCACACCAAGGAACGGAGGAGGAAATCCCTGGCACTATTGCCATCTGCCACATGCTGATAACTGAATTCAAGTACGTTAAGTATGTGTAGGAGACACCACTGAGAAGAGAGATGGAACAGCCTTCGTGAGAGAACTAAAGTGATGGTAGGGGAGGTTGGGGGAAAGGGAGAAAGATCAACCAAAGGACTTGTATGCATGAATATAAGCCAAACCAATGGACACAGACAACGGGGGGGTGAGGGCATGAAGGGGGTGGGGGTGGGGGGAGGCAATGGGAGGATAAGGACACATATGTAATTGCTTAATCAATAAAGAAATTTAAAAAAATAAAGTGATGGTTGAAAGGAGAACACAGGGAACACAGGGGATGAAGTGGTGGTTTCAGGTTTGGGGGGTAAAGAGGACGGGAGGTGGTAGTTTACTTTTGGGCTCCCTGTTTCGGAAAGAGTACCTCTCCTTCCATGGCACTATCACCCAAGTCAGAAGAGACCAGTGCCTCTTCCCAAACAAACCAATCCCGGTAGGAATGGTGCCAATTTGAAGTGATGAAAACCTACGTCTCTCCTTCCAGAGATGCACACTCACACTCTCGACTGATAATGGTAACAAAGATTCCCTATGATTGTCCATGTCCAACTGGTAGTTGGTCATTAGAGCATCTGAATTGCTGATTCTGCGTTAAGCCTTTTCCCTTGTAATGCTGCTCACAATTCATAGCTTGGAGCACCTTTTCTTCCAAAAGGAAAGAAATCTTTCATCAGGAGTTAATGCTGTCACTGACATGCTGTATTTCATCCGACCTCGAACCTGGGACTTGTGAGCGGACGGGGACCAGGGATTTCCAGACTCCGTCCTTGAGGCACTTCTAGTCAGTCCTCGGGAAATGCAACTTCTGAGAACTCCGGTTTTATTTGACTCCGCACGCTTCCCACACTGAGGATGCAGGGAACTTGCAGAAAATTCCCCAAAATGTGCCGAGGTGGTATACTGGCCCTCTCAGTGGGGAACGTGCTAATGGATGGGGTGGGAAGGTGAAAAGGAGAGACTTGAGTTCTCCAAGTACACACAACTGTCATAGAGAAACATACCTGGTCTTTTTCTCCCCCAGAGTACAGCTCAAGGAAATGAGCTAGGAAGGCAGAGGGGAACAGATAAACTTATGAAACCTTGACGGCCAGCCTAAGGATCTACTAGGAATGGCTATGTTCTAAGATAAAACATGAGCCCCACACCACTGCTCACCAAGGCAAAAAGGCTCCTGCATGTCCTAAGGAGAAGGCAGCTTTGAGCAGCGGTCATCAGACGCAAAAAAACATTTTCAACATCTGATTCTGACAAGCCCAGTTCTGGATGCGCTCTGACTGATGTCTCAGGGGTTCCCAGATCCCTAAGAGTGGGTCATCTGACCTTCGTGGGTATGGTGTGAGGAGTCATACAAGATGGAGAGGAGGAACTGAAAACCACACACTCGAATAATATGAAGTAATTTCTAAACAGTTTTATTTCAAATCTCTTTTCACCCCTCCCCAAAAAGACATGGGTCAGTACAGCAATCATAAAAAGGAGATACAAACACAAGAGTCAAATGCCTCCCGCACTGACACTTACAAAAAACTGGGAACTGTACATGGGGTTCCAAACAGGACCTGCAGCAGCTACTAATGTCCCTTCACAAGAGTCAAACATGCCTATTACTACAATATATACAGACAGCCCGCTCTGGAACTAACCTACAGGGACATCCCAACCCACCCCTCTAGCCCCAGAAAAATACCAAATCACACCCAAAGTGCATTTGTTTTGTTTATATCAAAACATCTTTGCCCACCCCACCCTCAGCCCCTCCCACCCCATTTAAGATTGGCCTGCAAGTCTATTTTAACCATTTAGTAATTTTTTATAGCTTATGAAAATAAATTATACAGTAACTATTTTAATAAATTAAGCACAAAAAGGGAGAGGAAAGGAGAAAAACTAAATGGGAAGATAAAAGCCAGGCCACGCTTTGGCTTGGAGGAGGGCAGGGGTATGGGTGGCAGGTGGGGGCTGAAGGGCAGAAGTGGTTGCAGGGGGTGTGGTTCCCCTTTGGTGAAGGATTGGCAACTACCCAAGCACAGAATGACACCCGCCTTGAGTTTCTTAAAAATAACCAAAAAATGTACAGCAGTGGCTATGCCACAGGCAGCACCAGTTTGGGAATTCCAATACTTGGCCTGCCCACAGCGTGGTGCCTGGATTACGCTTGTCCCTTGGAATAGGTTCTGGGCCTAACAGCGAGGGAAGGTCCCTGCTTAAGGGAGCACCAAGGATGAGTAGTCAGACCAGCCTTCCGCTCCACCTGAGCTGGGTAGGGCGCTTAGGATGCAGTCTGAGTGGGGCTATGTTACCCTGGGTTCTGATCGGGAGTGCCCTAAGCTTTCCTTGCACTCTATCTCCAGGGGCAACTATGAGATCGCAGTCCAGCTGCAACCAGACATGCATGTCTTCCGCCACAGCTGGCTGCTTTTTGCCTGCCCCTTGATGCCCCTCAGCATGGCAGAGGAGGGGGGCTGGGAGACGGGGAGGGAGCAGTCCAGGTACCCTCTACAAGAGATGAAATGGGTTTGAAGGCAGGTCACAGACTCAGCATGCAGGACTGGCTTTCCGGGAGGTAGAGGGGACGGGACAGAGATGGGAGAAGGGGGTAGAAAGGACAGGAAGTAACCAGGAAAGAAATGGACAGCGCCTACACCAAGGAAGGTCAAGTAGGGACGAAAAGGACAAAGACAACATAGAATCTGCACGTAAGGAAGGTCTTTCTCTGGCAGATTAGAGTCAATATTTTAAATACAATTCATATCTGTTTTTCTGGCTGCAGCACCCGAGTCCCCAGCGCCCGTCTCTGCGGTCCAACCCCATCTCACTCTTCCCAAGGCTCTGCTCTCCGCCTCCAGGCCCCCTGTCACTTTGTGCTGAGCAAGAAGCTCCATGTCACACAGGATCGGCGAGGCGCCTGGCGGACTTGACTTTGCCTTCTTGAGCTTTGTGGCCCAATAATCTGATCACAATCATGGGGAAGGGGGGGGTCACATTTTTTTTTCTTTTTCTTTTTTTAATAAAAAAGGTTTTACTCCCCAGGAGCAAATAAATCATTTTGAACTACTAATAAACACTGCTGCAGTGAAAAGAAAGATGGCTACATGTATGCAATAGCACAAATTCAGTGTAAGAACAGCTGTGTTGACGATTAAGAGATAAAAATCATTCATCTGTCCCCCCCCTTTCCCACAGACAAAACCAAGAGGATTCCCATAGGGAAAATGTCTAACTCAAAAGCTCCTCCCTTAGGGACAGGGGGCATGTCATTCTCTTAAAAGTGGAAAACAAATGGCAAGTCTCCCCGCAATGGAGATGCTCTCAACACCCCAGCTTGGCGACAAGACTTCCACAAATGAAGACACACACACACACCACACACGCACACACAACTCTCACACTGCCTCCTGCAGCCACAGCTCTATCCCAGTGCCCAGTCCTCCACACTCAGGGCTCAAGGCCAAGGGAGAGGCAGCAGGGCAGACAGATGGAACCTAAGGGAAAAGTTCCTCTCACCCGCCACCCCCTGCTGGGCCCTGAGGGCGCCTAGCAGGCCCAGCTCTTCTGGGGGCTCTGGGTGATGCCTGAATGGGCGGCCACCACAGGGCATCAGCTCCACTCTAGTCTCTTACACCCAGATCTGGGACCACGAGCCACCCTCCCTGCTCCCCAGTTCTTCCAGGATGCACACTGCATGGGTGTTCACAGCTATTTTAACATCATTCCCAGCCTTAATAAGGGGCCTGCAAAATCAGCCAAGTGAAAAGGAGAGAAGAGGTGGAGGGGCATAAACTGGGCGGCGAGCTCCCGGCCATGCCTTTCCTCACGGGAGGCTGATGGTTGAAGTCCTCAGCTCAGACTCCAGTGAATACACATTCACTATAATGAGCCACAGACAGACCAGCCAAGGTCATCACCAATGGTCCCAAACTCCCAGCGTCACCCATTCACCTAGTCCCTACACCAACCCCCTCACCCTCCTTACTCCTGCGCTCCTCCCTCAGCGCACAGAGTTCCAAGCAGTAGCAAGTTGTAGCAGTAGTTGAGACTAGCTCACAGTGAGGAAGGTTCCAGCAGATCAACCTTAAACAAGCGAGGGTTACACAGGCAGGGCCTCAGGGGACTGACACCACCCACCCACCTTAGCTATCAATGAGGGGTCTCTAGGAGTGAGAGCCTTTTCCAGTTTGTGACTTTAAAATACAACCCAGAAGGAGTAAGTACCCTCCGTAGACTGCATTTCAATGAGCACTGCACAGAACTAGCAGAGGAGGGCGTGGGCCCAGCCAGAGAGATGAAGGAAGTGCTGACCACAGGCGGGCTGCTCCGGCTCCGTTTACTCTCTGAGCAGCTGGCACCTCCGCCACAGCCCTTCCCCCACATCTGATGGAGCCTGTCCCCCTTGTACTCCTCTGCCTTTAGCCCACTCTACTGAGGAAGGACTGGGCTGCAGCCTGGGCTACGACTAAAGCACAGACAGATCTCGGACACAGGTAAACACCACCCTTCCCAGGAAAAAGGGGGACAGGGTGGGGTTGGGCCTCCTCAGAGCGTTTGCACTTGTACCTGAACACGGGAAATCTCCAACAGAAACCTGGTACCACAGAGGGTCCGGGAGCTCTGCCTCCCTCACCCAGGCTGCACTGAGAGCAATGAGGTCCTTGGCCATGGGCAGGAACCCAGGTGACTTCTGGCTTTGGACCCAAGTTTACCATCATAAGCCCTCAGCAATCAGATCTGCCCAATACCTGGAAGTTCCGGTCTCGACTACTGCACTGAAATGGACTCTGAAGTGCTTCCGCTCTAACCTGGGGCTGTGCACTGCTCAGTACACACCATGCAGACTTCTGCCTCCATGCTTTTGGTTCCTGTGTTTCTCAACTTATGGTCCTGCCCTCGCCCACGATCCAGAGCCTCACCGCCTCAGCTTTCCTACACCATCTGGTCTACCCTGCTCTTACCCACTCTGAAGTTCTTTAAACACAGCCCTTGCTTCTCTGCCATGGAGTCATTCTCCAGTTGCTTCATGTGTGGCAGTCACCTAAAAGGTCATGAAGGCCAGATACCCTGTCTTCCACTTCTTGTGTTTTCCTCCATATCCAGCCCAGAGCCAGGCAAACAAACACTAAGAATGGTTTTAAATGATAGCTAAAGTGGTCAAAAAAAATCCCAGGTAGCTGCACACCAGCCACTCAAGGATCCAAATGGATTCGACTTCAGGCTCTACGGTGGTGGGGGTGGGGGTGGGGTGGTGCTTTCTGCAAGCTGGCAAATTAGTCTGTACCCTCAAGAAGCAAGACTCACAGGCCAAGTCCATTTCTGGGATCACAGTCTTAACTGGTTGGTGAGACAACCACGGAGGCCAGAAAGAGGGACCTCCTGACAAACCAGAGGTGGCTGTGTTTATGGTTCACAGCTCATTCTGGGGGCCACCTCTTCAGAGGCAAATAACAATGCACATTTCCTCCCTGCTCAGCTACAAGGTGAGGCCCCAAATCACTGGGCCTCACCCCAAGCCATCAGGAAACGAGAAACCTGACAAACTATTTATCTAATGAGATGAGACAGAGATAAGCAGAGAGGAAGCAAATGAGGCAGTCTAATGGAACACTACTGCAAGAGAGCAGTAAAGACCAAACAGCTCAATTTTCACATCTTAATAGCAAACCTTTCCCCAGAGTAACTCTACACAAAAGCAAACGCATAATCTTACATGATCTGACAATGGCTTGCTTCAGAGAAAATTGAGGGCCACTGAGAAGCACTGGAGTTTTTCTTCCTCCTTCTCCCTTCCACTGGAAGACTGGCAACTCCGAAATCAGCATGACAGAATCCCAGTCAAAGGAGGACAAACAGGATCTGACTCAGGAACATGTTTGGGTTGCCAGAAAGAACACAGGAAAATGAAGAAGCCCTTGCTACCTCCCGTTCCAGAAGTGGGCGACAGTGATACACCGTGAGATGTAGCGCTCTTCTCCTCTCTGATCGAAGGACATCCTATTCCAGTTGAGACACTAGAGAGCTTTCAGTAGTAAGAGCCCAACCATGATAGCTTCGCTTCACACCCTTCCTCCACAGTCCCTCTCACTAGCTGACAGACATCTGGAGGTAAGTAACACTGGCTCCTAAGTCATGGGTACGGTTTGCCATTAAGAATCTGGAGGCACGCTCCATTAACTTTAGCAGCCATGATTGGAGCGCTACTGCTCAGGTGATGAAAAAACTATTGCGTTGACAGCTGGCGAAAGCAATAGGAATGATGTGACCATGACCACAGTGAAATGTACAGTTATCTTGGGGGACAGGCTGAGGATGGAGAAAGAATGAGGTTAACTTGAGGTCACAGAGCTTAAAAATTAAATAAAACAAAACGAATCCAGCTTCTACGAGAGGTGATTCTGAAACCAGGTTCCTAAATTAAAAGGAAAGGATTCAAGGAGTCACTACTTCCCCCGGCAGAGGCCATCTGCCAGTTTTTGTGCAGTAATCTTTTCTTCTGAGACCTCCCTCCTCCTACCCTCCTGCTCCTACTGAAGCTACATATGCTTAAAGAGAAGCAGATTCTCATCCTCCAGAAACTCCTAACTTCATTTGCACTGGACTCCTTCTCCCCTTCTACAAGGTCAATGGCGAAGACTCGCATCTGCCTTTGGCACCAGCTGTTTGACCGGCGCTGGCAATCCCCAGCCCAACCCTCCTCTGGACCTGCTCACCCTTCACACCATTTCCAATCCAATGGGCGCAAAACCCAGCTGCCTTTGAGTTTTCCATACCAAGAAATGTAAATATCCAAAACAAAAGTTGTGAAAAGGGAACAGTGTTGAGACTTCTTCCAGTTTTCCAGGAGCTCATCCAGTTCCAAGACACCAGATGGGCGGATGGGAAAGGTTGGAGCCCCACTCAGTGTGGTTGTGTGCTTCTTCCAAGCCCCAGGGTGGCGAGGGGACCAAAGTCTTTGCACAGAGGATCCCAACCCTTCCTAGTTCCTCTTGTTTTTTCCTCACTCCTCTTTTCATGGTACCTTCATTTGGTTCTTCAAAACCGGAGCTTGGCAACCAAATGCCTAGTGGGGAGGGGAGGTAAAAGAAACGAGAGTGGTTCACCAGAGTGGAACCAGAGTAGAGTGAAGTGAATAGCCCAGCCTCTGGGGTATAGCTCAAAAGGAGAATGGAGCCAAACACTTCCACAAACACTATAGCTGGCTGGGGATGCAGCAACAGCCTTTGCCAGGAGGCCTGAGTAGCCTATAACCTGGATGCCAAAAACTGGTTCTAACTTCCCTCTTTCCATTTCCCTTACTCCTTAATTTTCTGCCTATTTCTACCACCCTCCCCGCCGAGGACTACCTACTCTAGGGATTAAAAAAGGAGCTGAGCATCAGCCTGTGAACCAGGAGGTCACAGTTCAATTCCCAGCCAGGGCACACTCCCGGGTTGCGAGTTTGATCCCCAGTAGGGGGCATGCAGGAGGCAACGGATCAATGATTCTCTCTCATCACTGATGTTTCTATTTCTTCCTCTCCCTTCCTCTCTGAAATCAATAAAAATATGTTTTTTAAAAAATAGTTTTTATTTATTTTTTATTTTTTTACAGAGAGGAAGGAGAGGGAGAGTTAGAAACATCGATGAGAGAGAAACATCGATCAGCTGCCTCCTGCAAACCCCCTACTGGGGATGTGCCTGCAACCAAGGTACATGCCCTTGACCAGAATTGAACCTGGGACCCTTCAGTCCGCAGGTTGACGCTCTATCCACTGAGCCAAACCGGTTAGGGCAAAATATATGTATTTTTAAAAAGGAAACTCCACACTAGAGATGGGGATGAGTTATCACGCACCCCATCACTAGAATGTGAGATTGTGCACATAAACCCGCACTACCAAAACCACTATTCTGTGGGAATTTGGTCCCTACTCACCTCTACTTTTCAATGTTCACCTTAATGAAATTTAAAAGACTAATTAGAACTCATCTGCAGAAACCAGTATTCCACGATATTTTATGGGAAAATAAATGAGCAGAACTTAGTGTAGCAATGGGAGAATAGCCTCTTAGAGAAGTGAATTCCTCAGTTAATTCACTTATTCTATTGAACAATTTACTTTTCAGTGGCCTAAATGGATCCCTAAAGGGAAGAGTGAGCTGTTTTTTCTCTCCCCCATCCCGAGCCATGGGGCAGTGGAGCTCGCAATGAAGTGTATTTCTATTGCAATTGAAGAAATGTTTGTGTTTCCTTTGATAAAGATTCCTTTGGCTTCCAGCTTTGTATATCATTTGTGCAATATCAGGGAGCTCAGCCGAAGTATGAGAGAAGGTTGAACACTTAGTTACACGTGTGTGTCCTTCTTCATATCCAGCAGTTAGCCTGCACGTTGCTTGGCAAAAATATTCTTTAAGTCTCCCTTGTCTACCTGCTCTTTTCCAACTGGGGTGCCCCTTGGGGATTCTGTTATCAGATGTGGCAACTCTATGGGCAGATGTTTGGATACACACGGGATGGTGGGGGTTGGGGGACAAGGCCCATGCATGATGACAAGTGCCCAGGAAGAGACATGGCTGGACGAGAGGCAGAGAGCTCATACCCTCAGTAGTGACGAGCAGGGCCCCTCGCTACGTGGACGGTTCCACCTCTTGCTTCTGTTTGGAAATAAGCTGCGCTTCCTTTAGCGACAGGTATACCTCTTCCTGAGGATCATAGTAGTAGAACTTTCGGATATAAGAGATCAGAGGTCTGTAAAAAACATAAGAGGAATACACACAAAGTGTCATTTAGAGAGATTGAAAAGAAAGACCACTTTTGTTCAACTCTTCCTTCTTTTCAATCCCTATATGGTTGAGACTACTCCAAACACTTTGCAACCCTAACAAAATTCCCATTTTCTCACTTTATTATAGTTCTCTCTCCTTCCCTCCACCCTTCATAGAGACTGCAGAAGGGAGGTTGACACACACACCTTCCTCCCTTCTGGCTGCAATGTAACAACAGTTCTAGAGTTAGGTTCAGGACAAAGGAGAAGTGAAACCTGTGAACACTGCCAGGCTCTGCCTGCGCCATTGGCTTGCAGGCCTCACTAACATTTGTAAGTAACCCTCCTTCCTGCCCCAACCCTAAAGACCACGTCATACTTAGGCAGTGGGAGATCCGGGATGTGATCTATCCGGACGAGCTGTCGGATTCGGAATCTGCAAAGGTGCTGTAGGGATTTGACATTGCTGAATCGGGACACTGGATAGAGCAGCTGCACTGGAGTTGGTGGCAGTCCTTCAAGAATGAAAAACCAAGAGAAATATTCAGTAGGAACAAAGCAACTATGACTTCCCTGATGAAGAGTTCAGGGAAAGGAAATGGGCTTCTTTATAGTTTACCTATGTGTTCTGTGCAAAAGCTTCTTTCCACCAAGGCTGCTGATTTCCATTTGCAGAGCTACAACTACTATATTTCACTCAAGAGAATCTATTCTTGACCCTTCCCATTGCCTTTCTAGTGAACACTCTTTTACCTTCCCTGTTCCGTGGAAATGAGCTGAGAGCTCTCACCTCTGTTTCACATGTAAGTGTAAGATGCCTGGATCAGGGACAAGGAGACATCACAGAGTGTAAACTATTCACGGGATGCCTGGACATCGGAGGAAGGATCAGTTTTCTAACTCATGTGGTTAGAGAAGCAAAGGTTCCTTCTCAGTATATTGAGGGATTAATGTACATGGGTAGGGGCCTAACCACTGGACTCTAGAAAGAGGGTTTCCTGTAAGAGCCAAGATAAAAAGCTTTAAGCAAGTGTGGCCTTTGTTGGAGGGAGGTGCATTCTGATACTATACTAGACTATACCCAAGTAAGTTAAATAATTTTATAATAACCACAGCCATACCTGGAACCCTGGATCTCAAGAAATAGAGAAACTTCCCATTCTTGGAGTGCATGATGGCTCTCTTAATGAACTCCACCACTGACTGACAGCGATCCTCAAACTTGGGATGACACCATAGGCTGAAGGTTCCTACCAGTGAAAATTAAGAAGAGGTAAAAATGTAAAACATTTTAAAAGACCTGGAAAGCTGGTTTGCACATTTTTATGATTCTCATTTTTCAGCAAGACTTTATGGGCAAGCTGAATCAGACAAAGGTCCCTGAAGCCACCTGTTCCTACTTGTTCTACAATTAATGGAAAGAAAGATATTGCCTTTAATAAGACATAAATCAGGTCTTAAAAGGCTTTTGTTAAAGTAAATAATTAATTCAAGTCAGAAAAAAGATATAAAAATACTTTGTTGAAATTCTCTTAGCAATATTTTTTTCTGATATATCTCCTTAGGCAAGGAAAATAAAATAAACAAATGGGACTATATCAAACTAAAAAGTTTCTGCACAGCAAAAGAAAACATCAACAAAACAAAAAGACAACCTACTGAATGGGAGAAGATATACACCAATGATACATCCCATAGGGATTAATATCCAAAATTTATAAAGAACTCACACACCTCAACAGCAAAAAAAAACCCCTCCAAACAAATCCAATTAAAAAGCAGGCAGGCAGTCAATGATTTTCTCTCATCATTGTTGTTTCTATCTCTCTCCCCCTCTCCTTTCCTCCCTGAAATCAATATATATATATTAAAAAGGAGTATATATGTATGTATGTATGTATGTATATAGTCTATGGTAAGACTATGTATGGTGTCAGGTAGGTACTAAACTTACCAGGGGGATCATTTTATAAGTTATATAAATGTGCTGTCACTAGGCTGTACACCTGAAACTAATATTGAATTCAACTATAATGGGGGGGGGCGGGGAAAGACTGCCATAGCAAAAGCGAGTTTAAATGACATTCCCCTCAAAAAGATTCACCTTTTCAAGTATTCATGGGACAGTTGAAGAAAGAAAAGAAGAGAGGTTTTGTGAGTATTACCCATTCATGTGTTGGTACAAAAAATCAAATTCTAAGTCTTTCCTTTAACTTCTAAAATTCTATGCCCCAACATGTTACAAAGATCCCACCCCAAACTTCAAGACCCCAAAGGTAAAAGGGAATCTGAATTTCCAGGACTTCAAACAAAACAAAACAAAAAAAACTAAAGCTCTAAATTCCAAAAGAATCACCCACAAAGGAGATACTAAATCACTCAAGAAAACTGCAGATCTGAGTCTCTCTAGCTACTCTTACAGTATCACTTAAAAAGACGAAGACAAATGCTCTATTGCAAACTGGCAACTAAAAGGCCCACAAGGCTTCTATTAAAAATTCCATTTATTCAAGAAAGAAAAGTCCCTTTCAATAAAAAGTAACTGGAGAACCATTTGAAAGAGCTCTCTCATTCCTGGCATCTCACCTATCAGGAACCTAGAGGTCAAACATTTATTCCCATGGCCCAGTCATTTATTTTAAAATAGGTTTATAAAAATACTTCACTCTGAAATGCTTTGTTTTGCATTTGTTTGTCTGATTTTTGCTTTTAGGAACAGTAGGAAAATAGGCAGCAGTCTATCCCACAGTGATCTAACTAATGAATGCTCAGGTCTTTGGACTGAAGTTCCTTTCTCTTCATGCATCTCTAAGACAAAGGCAGAGGCAGAGGAAACCATGCTGACCTAAACAGCTACTTCCTGCCTCACAAGAGAAGCAAACCAAATAAATCCAGCAGAACACGGCTGAGGGCAGGAAAGACATGGTGGTGCCTCAGAAGAGCATGAAAGAGACTCGTTTGAGATGGATGTCTAATACAGCTCATTTAAGGGGGTCACATATGGGAAAAGGTGAGAGATGGGAGTCCCTAAAACTCCCCAACGTTCTCTATACTTTTAAAATTTATAACATATGCAGATATTTCAACAAATGATATATTATCCAGTCCTACCATCAATGACTGTCACAAGTTTCTGGCCCAAGTTAAGTACAGAATGCCCTGCTGCAAAGTTAATCCAGACAGTGGTGTTGAACTAGTCATCTTCTAGACATGACGGCAGCATTAAGCACAACATGACCACACAGAAAGGGGTACCACCTGGGAAGCAGGTAGACAGTCTATATAAAGCACGTTGATTTCACAAACTCTTGGAGTTCTGATGACTATTTCCTAAGAGACTACAAAGTTGACCAAGAGAGAATTTTCATCACCATGCTGACTGGCACAAGAGCTGATGTGACTATCAGGCAAAGAAATTCAGAACAGAACAGTCCAGTATCAACACTAAATTCTCTCTGTCCATATGATTTAATAGAAAGCATCTCTAAACGTTAAGTTTAATTATGAACAAAGTTTGGGAGAATTTGTCTAGGTTATTTCTTTTCTCTACCAAGAGAGTTTTACTGGCTTTGTTCTGTTCTTCAATAGTCTTATTTAGCCCTAACCGGTTTGGCTCGGGATAGAGCGGCGGCCTGCGGACTGAAAGGTCCCAGGCACCGGTCAAGGGCATGTACCTTGGTTGCGGGCACATCCCCAGTAGGGGGTGTGCAGGAGGCAGCTGATTGATGTTTCTCTCTCACTGATGTTTCTAACTCTCTATCCCTCTCCCTTCCTCTCTGTAAAAAATCAGTAAAATATATATATATATATTTGAGTTTCTCAACTTATTGTCCTGCCCTCGTCCAGGATCCAAAGCCTCACCACCTCAGTTTATATATATATAGTCTTGTTTAGGCCCTCCTATTTTAGGAAACAAGATGCTGAGAATACTTTTAAATGGAACCCTTACTCTCATCCCTACCCCTGCCAACTTTTCTTCTAGTGACTGAAACCAGTGCCCATATCAGCATTCAATTGACTCTATGAGATACTTTCTCCATTTCTATGAATGCTTCCTATGAAAAAGTCAAATAGCAAAGGTAGAGAAAGGTTTCCCTCCAACACTAGCCCCTCTTACCTCTGTAGTGCTCCATTCTAGTGTGGTGGGTGATACCCTGTGATCGAAAACTGAGGCTCAGGATATAACGAGGATCAGAGCTGTCTCGTACCAGGAAAGAACCATCTGGTTTCCCTTTCAGCTTCATCTCTGCATCTTCCCAATTCATTGGTCCCCAATACCAACCACACTATCGAAGATAAAAAGCAGTCAAGTGGTTAACAGAACAGAGAAATGTCAAAGTGTTCAGCACAATCTATCTCACCATAGGAGAACCCCATTTCCAAAACATTTCAGTAGGGAAGAGCTGTAGGAGTGTCTCAACCCCTAGCAAATACACACCAGGCTCCATATACGTTTAACCCTCCAAAGTAGCAGAAGGAACATTCTACAATTCCATTACCAAGGCCCTTCAAAGAAGAGAAGGGGGACCCGAGTCAGTTAATCTGCCACAATCAGTTTAGACTATGTAAACATTTCTCCACGCCTTTCCTTATCACATTCAATTCCACCACCACCCCCAAGTTTCAATTTTACAATATATTTTATAGAATTGATAACAGTAGTATCTTGCTTTGTCACTATAAATATAGAGACAAGGAAATTACTCTCCCTGTAAAAAATAATACAAAGGGAACCAGGTACAGAACTAGGGAGGAGGAGAGGAGGCAAGCCTCCAGTGCTCAAGTGCCACCTACCTTCTCCAACTCTCGAAGGCTGGCTGCAAAGCTGCTCGAGTCGGGCCGGTAGAGGGGACACTGGAGGTGTTGCGGGGGGTGGCTGTGCAGGGATTCAGCTGCTCGGATAGGAGCAATCCGCGGAAATGCATCTGTAACGTGAGAGAGTGGTGGGTCACTCACTTACCCTCGATGCTCCCAACCACTAGTACACCCTCCTCCCAAAACAGAGATGCTAACTGAAGAGGGGCAAGGCATTAGACGCTAAGCTGGAAAGGGTGAAAGCCAAAGCAGTGGGGAAGAGCTGATGGGCTGGAACAAAAAGCTGTGTGGGCTGTGTAAGCTGTGAAGGATGGTGAGGGCACTGAACCCCAGGAAGCGGGTGGGGAGCTGCACTGACCTGACTAAGGTGACTACTTCAGGGCCTTCACCAGCCTAGAGTGACTCCAACTTCTCCCACCTCGAGGTGAAGTGCCGGGAAAGCAGCCTTGGAAATAGTGACTCGCTTACTTGCCCAGGAAGTGTAAGGATTTTGCCAGGCAAGTAGAAAAAAATGCCGATTTCATTCATTTTATTCCTTGGGTACTGGAGACTGGCAAAGCAGGTATGGGCTACTAAATGCTTGCTACATATTTACAAGGCTGCAGTCAGTACTAAAAGCTTAGAAAAACCACAGAACTTTGAAAATCAGCAATATATTAAACCTCCTCACTGTCCTAAAATTAGTTTCCTCAGTGATGTCTACTCAAGGATTAAAAAAAAAAAGTCTCAGTAGCAAAAAGACGAAAAAAATTCAATTGTCTTTTATCTCTAACAAAAATCGAATTCAACTCCATAAATAAAACAGGTTAGAAAAATCAGTTCTTGGCCTCATTTCCAAGGAGTTCTATAAGCTTTCTCATAAGTTCTATTATTCCCATAAATAGATTTCTCCCATCCTTCAAAAAGTTTATCATTTGTACTCCCAACTCTTGCAAGTCTGTTCTCTAAGCTAAGCTAACCTGGGGCATGGGGTGGAGGAGGCGGAGGTAGGGGGAAAGACTGCAGGGAAGACCCCATCGGAGCCACAAGGACAGATGTAGGCAGCGTCCCACTGATATCATCTAGAAGAGAGAACAAAAGCAAAAGGTTCAGAAATATGAGCAGAGACTGAGCAAGGTGAAGCAGAGGAGACGGAGAAGGATCATCAGGCTGCCCTCTGGGGCAAGATGGCCTGACCTTCACCCTGTCTTTTTGTACAGAGGGCAACAACCATCTTAATCTGGTTTCCTCTGCAGGAAAGTAGGATATTCTTAAAGCAGCCCACTAGCTGTAGATTCAGGGCAAGATAAATGCAGATCTAATCAACACATGGATAATAAATGCTGTCATAGCATGCAGGTAAGACACTCATTCAACCACTTAGGGAGATGATAGGGGTGCTGAGAAAGGGATAGGAAATAATTGGTTCATCGTTAGAATCCCAGGAGCTTGTAGGGCTCCTGGCAAAGAAAAACAGGTCCGAGAGCTCCCCCTCCCACGAGAGCAAGAAGGTAGAGTGGAGGAGACTATACCTAGGAGGCTGAGGCTTCTTCTCGGAGGAGGAGGGGGAGTTGGAGGGTGTGGAGAGGCCAGGCCCCGCTGAGAGATGTCCACATCCACAAGCGATACTGTTTCACCTGAGGGATTCATGGAGCAAGCACGTTATAGAACACCTTGCCCAAAGCTGAGGCCAGAGCAAAGGAAAGCAAAGGGCAAGCAAGGGAAGTTAGAGGTCCCTGGCTCTCAAAAAGCTCAAAATCTAATGCTCCCAGGACTGGAATCACCCCCTAAACACCTGGGAAGTCCATTTTAAATGCTATCATTTCTTTACCATCTTAATGGTCAAGGATTCTTTAAGGATAAAAACATGGGCTTGACAGTGGTAAAGTCAACTCATTGTGACTCTGCCACTGACAATATAACCTTGACCAAGCCATCTTTATTCAAATGAAAACCATTTATTTTTACAGACTTGCATACTAATTTCTGCCTTAGGGAGCAAAACGAGCAGCTTGTTACAAGCCCAAGTGAACATAGAAAGCAAGTGCCAAAAGCTGTAAGAGCTGCATGGTACACTGCATGCAAATACAGGTCCCAATGTTAGCCCTAACTTCTTCCTGAACGGCTTTCCATGTCTAGAGTTTTCACACTATTCATTCATAAGAGAACCCATTTCAGATATGAATTAGTTCTTAATAACTGAGGCTACAAAGGTTGAAAAGTACATTTACAACCCTAATAATTAACTACTTCCACAGTCAGCCAAGAGTCAGGTAAGCTTAGAGGAAGCTTCTCAGTAGGAAGCTGATTGGGGGTGGGAGGTTAGGGAGATGACATGTGGTTTCTCTTTACTTCCCAGCATGTGATGCAGTTCTGTTCTCTGCCATATACATTCTTCCTCGCCACCCAGCCCCATCTACCCTCTCTCCACTGAGTCACCAGAGGATGAAGGGTATTTTATTAACTAAGGATGACAGCCAAAAATAGGTCAGAACTCGGGATTTCTCTAATTTGAGGGTGTTATTTCCAACATCTCTTTCTTATTCAGGAGGCTCAATTAGCCCCTAAGCTGGATTTTATTATTATTAGAGACCAATGTCTCTAAAAGGTCAGGAGCAGGGCTTTTAGAACCTAATACAGTTTTGGGGTTTTGTTTTGTTTTTACAAAGTTCTTGAACATAGATTAAGATAAACAGAAAAGCTATTCTAAAAGTCATCAGTGCAAGTTGTACTGCCTACTGGACTCATCACGGAGCTTAGTAACCGATAGCCTAGATGCCCAGAGCAATGCAATGAACCCAGACAAGTGTGCCTCCTGAAGGGTCGGAGAGGTCTAGGTTGTAGGTGTAGCACCTCAGCATCATTCAAAAGAGCTAAGCTGTGTGAAACAAGAACACTTCAAATGTGGGTTCCTTACTTTAGGGAGGAAACAATTATTCACCAGAAGGATATATTACTACAGGATAAGACCCTTTAGTACTGGCCGGAGCCGGTTTGGTTCAGTGGATAGAATGTCGACCTGCAGACTGGAGGGACCCGGGTTCGACTGCGGTCAAGGGCACATGCCTGGGTTGCAGGCTCCATCCCTAGTAGGGGGCGTGCAGGAGAGAGCCGATCAATGATTCTTTCTCATCATTGATGTTTCTATCTACCTCTCCCTTCCTCTGAAATCAATAAATATATATATGTAAAAAGATTAATTCTGGGCTTGAGGTAAAAACAGAGATCTCGCCCTGGCCGGTTTGGCTCAGTGGATGGAGCATCGGCCTGTGGACTGAAGGGTCCCGGGTTCGGTTCTGGTTAGGGGCACATGCCTGGGTTGCGGGCTTGATCCCCAGTAGGGGGCAGGAGGCAGCCAATCAATGATTCTCTCTCGTCATTTGATGTTTCTATCTCTCTCTCCCTTCCTCTCTGAAATCAATAAAAAAAAAATATTAAAAAAAAAAAACACAGAGATCTCCTTCTTCACCTGTGCCTATTACAGGTACCAACACACTTGTTCTGACAGCTCATGGCTATCTATGTAGTAAGGGCTGGGGGTGGGGGTCCCACTAACCTGCTTAACTCTGGAAATGTCTATCCCTAATCATAATTCTTCCAATCATCTTTTTGAGGGATACAGTACCAAAAGAGTTTGAAATTGGGATTTTTAAAAAAATCTTTTCGGTCACAATCAATGAGTGCCCAGTTTCTGAGACTTGAAGCAATGTGAAGACCTTCTTTCATGCAGCTTATTCAAGTGGGAGCTTCACATCTGACTGACATAACAAAGGGGCTCCCTCTGAAAAAGTTCCCCATTAAAGAGAAGGCAGTTGCCCAAAGGACATTCAGCCGCTTTCCTTCTTTAGCAACTGCGTTCCTTGCTCTTAGATGATAGACTTAAATTAGACACAATGAAGAACTCTAACAGCTGCAAGAACTGCTAGCCCCAAAAATGGGTAAGTCAAGAGTTCACGTAATCCCCTTTGCCCAAAGTCTTTAAAAATAGACCAGATAATCATGGGTCATGTTTATTAGCTAATCCATGAACTCCCCTGGAAGCAGAGTCAGGAATTGTATGATTTCTCAGGAGTCCTTCATGCACTGCAAGCCTATAAATGTGTAATTCCTCCTTTTAATTTATAAGTGAGGACCCTGAACTAAGGACGGCATAACTGCCAGGGTCACTTAATTACCACCAAGCAGTCACCACTCAACCCATAAAGCATCCAAAGTCAAGAACACATGCTACACCATAAAAATAGCCCCACCCCAAACCCAGCAGGCAGGGAATGAAGAAAATAACCACAGATAGGCCTGAAGCTCCCTCTGCAATGCATCCGTAAGTGTTTCCTGACAGGTCTCAGAAGACTCCTGCTTTCAGATGTCAGAAGGAAAAAAGAGAGAGAGAGAGAGACAGAGAGAGAGATCAACCTTACCTGTGAATAGGGGGCTGAAGGAGACCGGAGAAAAGGCACTTTGAGTTCTTGTCAACCTGGGTTTCCTAGGGGGTGAAAAGCACAGAGAGAATAAGGGCTGGGGGGTGGTTAAATCTCTACAATACTCAATTCCATATGCACTGAAAAACAAAGCAAACCCAGTCATTATCAGCAACACTTTTGTAATAAAGCCTAAAATTTAAAGGGGGAGAATAAAATAATTAAGGCAATTCCTTAAATAGATCTGGCTACAGAATTCACCAGCCTACAAAAGCATGAGAAATCCCTTTGGATCTCTCCTCACCCAGCGCATTGAAAGAGTAAAACACCTTGAGTGGTAATTAGCAAGTCTATTTCTAGAGGAAGTCAGAAACACAGTTGACTTGCATATGGGAACCAAGAAAAAGCCTCTTGATCTGACCAGGTGCTTTCCCTCTGGGCCTGCTCCTAGGACAGCAGGTGGCAAGGTGAACCAGAGAACATACTTGGGTTTGAGACCAGCACTACAGGACGCACATGGAATCTTCAACCACGAAAAACATGCACCAATGTCTCCGAGCCACGGGTTAAAGCCGTCAACTAACAAGGGGCTTCCTTAGGTTAGGGCTCTGCCTGGAACCAAACCAGATGGCCCCTTCTCCTCTCTGAACTGCCAGTCACACAGTTCTCCTTGTGATTTCCCCTTGATGCTGCTCCAGTAAGCGAGCTGGAAAAACCCAGATCTCCTGTGAAAAGATAGACTTTCTGGCTAGAAATGTGCTAAGTTCAATACTTTCAACAATAAAGATAAATTTTATAAATAAAACAGTGCACATTATTTAAAAAAATCACCTCAGGATGACTGAACTGACGATCACAAGGGAAAGACTTGTGGAGGTGATGAAAATATGCTGTATCTTGCCGAAACCGGTTTGGCTCAGTGGATAGAGCGTCGGCTTGTGGACTGAAGGGTCCCAGGTTCGATTCCGGTCAAGGGCATGTACATGGGTTGCGGGCACATCCCCAGTGGGGAGTGTAAAAAAGAAAATATGCTGTATCTTGATTGTGACAGAGGTCACGATGACTATATACTTTTATCAAAATTAACATGTTAAGCGCCCAGGCAGTCACCGGTGACTGACACTATACTTTCTGTCCAGAAGACAAAACAGGCTGGGCGCTTAACGTGTTAATAGAACTGGACACATAAAAATGGTGAATTTTAGATGGTATGTAAGTGCTACCTCAATAAACCAGACTTTTAAAAAACTCCCACACTGAGTCCACTGTATGGGAGAACATATTTGGCAATGATACATCTGATAAAGGGTTAATATCCAAAATATATAAGGAACTCATACAACTTAACAAAAGGAAGACAAACAATGCAATTAAAAAACAGGGACCAAAAAAAAAAAAAAATGGGCAAAGGACTTAAATAGATACTTCTCCAAAGAGGACATACAGATGGCCAAGAGAGATATGAAAAAATGCTCAAAATCACTGATCATCAGAGAGATGCAAATTAAAACAACAATGAGGTATCACCTCACACCTGTCAGAATGGCTACCATCAACAAATGACAAGTGCTGGCGAGGATGTGGAGAAAAGGAAACCATAGTACACTGTGGATGCCTTATGATTTCACTTATATGTGAAATCTAGATCTCTTACCCTCTGAGACAGCATGGAAGGACTTGGAGAGTATCATGCTAAGTGAAATAAGTCAGTCAGAGAAAGACAAGTATCACATGACTGCACTCATATGTAGAATATAAGTAACAAAATAAACTGATGAACGGAGTGGATCCAGAGACATGGAAGCATGGAACAGAGTGTGGAATCTCAGGGGGAAGGCAGGGGAGGATGGGTATGTGGGAGGTAATCAACCAAAGACCTTGTATGCATATATGCATGGCCCATGGACACTGACAACAGGGTGCTGAAGGCCTGGTGGGGGGCGGGAAGAGATGGGCTAGAGGGGGTCAATGGGGGAAAAGGGGGACATATGTATTACTTTCTTTTTTTTAATATATTTTATTGATTTTTTTTTTACAGAGAGGAAGGGAGAGAGATAGAGAGAATCATCGATGAGAGAGAGAAACATCGATCAGCTGCCTCCTGCACATCTCCCACTGGGGATGTGCCCGCAACCAAGGTACACCCCTTGACCGGAATCGAACCTGGGAACCTTCAGTCCGCAGGCTGACGCTCTATCCACTGAGCCAAACCGGTTTCAGCCATATGTAATACTTTCAATAATAAAGAATTATAAAACAAACAAACGAAAACCTCCCACCACTGACTTGAGGGCCTGACTCTGGGCCTTGTAGCTGGCTCACCTTCCAAAATTCTTCTCACCCAAAGGACTAAATGAAACTTCAACTGCACCGAGGCAGGAAGGGAGGTGAAGCAAAGAAAATCATATTTAAAATTATTTTATTTTAGATCTTTATGCATTTATGTTTTAGCATAGATATCTGAGATTCTCAGAACTCACTTCAAACAAAATTTCAAAACCATATTGTAAAGATATTACTCAAAAATAGCCCAGAAGCTAGATTTCCGCTCCCGAACTCCCTCTGCAACCTCCCTCCATGCTGAGACACAAGAAGTCTAATGATGGTGCCCATCATACTAGTAAATGCCCCCTCCATGGCACCCACGGGAGAAATGGCTGCATCAAGCAAGACACAAGCATGATGCATGGTCCCTGTTTATAAAAGTTGCTCATGACAGTCTGCAGCTTAGTTCCAACACTCCAGAGGGCTGAAATAGAAAGCTAATTCCACTGGACATGAACTTCAAGACTGAAGAGCTTCCAAACTGATTTTTATTTGATAACTATGGTACAATATTAAACTCAGCAAGGAGAAACCTAAGCACTGGTCTTTCAAAGGGTTCACACCTCAGCCACTTGGCTGTCTGCCTCTTTTCAAAGGAAGCTGCATTACTCTGCCATCTGCCCATGCTGGGGACGAATCTCTTCAGTGCCAAGTACTGAGGAACGGCAGTACCCAAACGCACACAGCTTGCGGAGGCCTTCTCACTCCACCTCATCTCCTCCCCCGCCCCCAGCATTTTGAAGAAGGAAATCATAGTTTCTAGGATCTGGAAAAAGAAATACATATGAATCTAAACCCAGGCACAGTCATTTAAGAGACCGGGATGGGTTTTTTCCTGGCAAATAAGGGGGCCTCAGAGCTGGAAGTTTGGAGAGGTAGGTCTAAGAGGCTGAAAGGCTAATACTAAGTGTTTCTTTCTCTCTTCGGGGAGACGCTAACTGAAAATCCAAAGCAGTTTCTGTCTCAAGGATCCTGGGAGCATTCTAATGGCAGTCACTCATGAAAAGACCAATCTAGACAACGATTAAAAAAACAAAGCAAGGGAATGATTAACATAAAATTGAGGACGGTGGTTACAGTAGCTGTGGAGATATAATCAGGAAACAACACACAGGGGTCTTCAAAGGTAACTGATAACATTCTATCTGCTAAGCTTAGAAATGAGTACCTAGGTATGCATTTATTATTATAGTGCACACACACACACACTCACCTCCTTTTGCATATATGAAACATTTAAAACGATAAAAGCTGGATGTGCTGTGGTGGTTTTTTTTTAAAGCACGAATAATAGGGATAACATTTTTAACTAACCTTTCTATAACCCATTCCCATGTTATTTTATTTCTCCCCAGATCACCTTGACGAGCATTAGGGTGCAAAGTTAAGCCATTGTTAACTTTGCTAGTGGGCGATGTGCATCTTAGTAGCAGAAAGACTTGGGGGTGAGGGGTGGTAGGATCTGGTGGGCTATGCCTCAGGTGGGTGGCAAGAGACCTTAGGCAAAGGTCTTCTTTGAGGCTAAGTTGTCCTTCGTGACAGCTAAGCACTGCCTGTGCTTCAGGTAACAAAGAGACAGAAGGCCTCTGTCCATCTCCACTCTGAAAATTGCTAATTGTATGGCAATAGATCTGTGGGATAAAAGGAGTTAAAAGCATTAGACTAGACAGGCCGAGAACACACTGATATAACCACTGGCCACTTTTCAAATTCCTTGAAACCTAAAATATAAACAATGAAATAGCAATGCCTTCCCTTCTTTGTCCATTAATCTCCTCTACTGATGCCTTACGACTTACACATGTTCTCTTCTACAGTAACTTCCAAGCAAGAATGTCCAAATATCAGGCTTTACAGCCGCAAGTTACCTCTGCCCCTGCTGAAGCACACAGTGCCAAGTCAGCCAGCCTGTGCCATTTTCAACACGTCATAAGCCAGTGTCTGTTCATGTGCTACAGGCACAAAAACCATGTGTTCATTTTTAGTTCCAATACACAGACATCTGTGCAGCAAGGTCAGATCCAAAACTCCATCATAAACCAACTAAGGAACCTATGGAGGGAACTTCCAGGGAAAAGCCAAAAGGTATAGTGCAAGGTCTAAAACCTTAGGAATGATGTTAGCAGGGGAAATAAATATTAAGGAGTGGAAGATACAAGAGGTTTCTGAAGCCAGGCTGCTTGTTCGAAACAAGAGCTGCCAACCACAACCACAACCACTTTGTGAAAAATAGTTAAAAAGATCAATAGAGTATAGACCCAAAACTCAAACGTAGAGTCAGAACTTCCTCATCACACCATACAATCATTTTGCTCTCACTAGGTCATGCTATTTCTTAAAACTACCCCCTTGGACCTGAAGACCCAAGGAAACAGAGAAAAGGATTTCTCACGTCTGCCAATTCTGTCCACAACAGCAGGGTCCCAAACTGATGCCAAGGCAGCCTGCCTCTCTTCCAGAATTGTATCTTCCCCCCCAAAACAAATAGATAGAAAACGACTACAGAACTGTTCTCCATTTTTCCACTTCACAACTATGAAGATCGATAGTAATAGCCTTAGCCATTAACTCAGAAAAAAAAAAAACTTAAACAATGAAACTTTACAACCAAGCGTGTATTATTATAATTTTTTTAAAAAAGTCAGATCAAATACCATTTCTCACCAAATATAAAGGAAGACAATCAGCTCAACATATGTGAAACAGAAAAGGGAACTTCTCTGGTTTTCCTGAAATAGCAATTCTATATTACACTGAAGCCCTCAGGCATCGAGCCCAGCTCTGTAAATTCAACATATGTGTTGAAGGCTTAGCCCAGTCTCCACAACAGAAACCTGGTAGTTGGTGGGCCCGTTTCATCCTTCACTTCAGAGTTCTCTAAGCTCACTCATACTAGATTTAAGGCTCAAAATAACCAGGCAGGTCCACTTAGCACACTCTGAAACATCGGAAAGGAACTAAAGTTTTTCTTAATGTTAAACTATGGAAACTGTTAGCCTTATAAAATGATTGTAGGAAGTATTTTCTAGTGATAACTGTGGGAAAGGTAGATATTAAACAGAGCAAAGAGAATCATGTCCAGAGGTTACTGTAAAAGCCCCAAATTATACAGCAAAGACTATAGAGATTCCAACCATCATTAAGGCGGAAGGCATATACCTTCTGGCAAGAGACTGAGATTTCTCACAGCTTCCAGGTCCTACCAATCAAAACAAGAGAACAAGCTAAATATCCAAACGCATTCTTCCTCCCTTAGGAGGTGCAGATCCATAGAAATCACAACTACCCTGGCCAGACTTACCAAGTTTCTCACGGCTGCGAGGCTGCCAGCAAGACTGGCACATAGTAAGCTGTGTAAAAGCTAACAAGCAAATCTAGCATTAAAAAAAAAAAAATCACCAGTTCAATCTTTATTACTTCTCCAAAAGCACAAAATATTCCATCTCCACTTCTCTTGTCTTCACTCTATTCCTACAAGGTCAGGATAGTTACTAAAGAATAGAGAGAGAGAAGCATGAAGAAAGCAAAACTGGCCAGCATCCCACAGCTGATGCTGGAGTTCTACATGGAGTCTAGGTGTTCACATTCTCTGTCCAACAAGCTGCCTAACAGCAGTCAACCGAACGTTCGTACACAGATACCTAGCTCTTCTCCAATTCATCAGAAAAAGCCCTTGGACCAAAAAATGTAATTCTCCAGTGCCCTGAACTAAGCTTTGCAGATCTACAGCCCAATTTGCTCTGCAGCAGAAATCTGTATTGTGCTTAGTGTGAGGGTTGGTGACAGAGCAGCCAATGACCATTAAATTCTGCTTCCAAAGGCAAAAACCGTATAATGTTATATGCCTTTTCCTCTTCCTAATCTATTAGACGGAGCAGCTAATTTCACGCCACACCTCATATCTAGCGTCTCTGGAATCCTAGACCAAGGCCTGGTCAATATGGAACAAAGGCAAGACAAATCACAAGAAAATTAGCAATCTGTCCTATGTCATTGCCCACAGCTTCAATCCTGCCCTCCCCCCATATGATGAAAATTTCATCTATACTGGTTAAATGGAGCATCGAATGCAGAGCCTACTACAAAAGAGCTGTTTCAGCAGCCACACACTTTTTAAGACCTGAGCATGAGTTCATTGGAGGCAAATGCAGAAACAGGTCTACCTGAAGGGGTAACATGCATCAACCCACTGATTTCTTTAGGGACTTTGGTTGGTTTGATACCCAAAACAAGCCCCTGGCACAGCTGTTCAGGAAGGGCAGCAACGTCAAAGTAACCCCACACTTTCCTTTTGGGGGACCCAAGTTCCCTTGAAAAGAGAAGCCCATGGGTGAGTGGTTCCCAGTCCAGGTCATACTTCAGGATCAACCGGGGAGCTTTTAAAATATCAAATTCTTGGGCTCTCAGGCATACTGATCTTTCTTTTCTCAAAGCTCCCCACGTGATTCTGGTGCACAAAGTTCTCAATCTATGTGTCCCTGTTCTTCAGCTGTGGGCTGTGGCTGCCAGTGTGTCTCAAGAACCCATCACATGAGCTGCACCAAAACCAACTCCAACCTTTCTAAGAATCCATTCAGCAGCACAAACCACAGTGGCAGTTACCACGAGGGAAGTGTCATTTCACTGACACGAAAAGGTGACAGCTTTCTAAACCAATATACTGGATGATGGAGAGCAGTCCACCCTTCAGAAATGCAGGGGGAAAACCTCAATGCCTAACTTTGAAATTTCATCCATTAGCCTGGAACTCATGCACCAATGCTTCTACTACTCAGACTCGGAATTCTCACATGGGCTTGACAGCAAAGCTATTTTCTATTCCCACGGACAGTGGTCAGCGCACGGGCTTGAGACACCAAGTACATAAGAGACCAACCAACCAGGAAAACATGAAACCTCGGTGCTGAGAGGCCCAGCTGATTGTGGGCCTACAACTCATCACATCATTTGTATGCTTGAGTGTGAAGGGAGCGGGTGGGCTGCTGGTGGAACAGAAAGAGGAATAAGCAAGGTGGTCACAATGCAACGCCAACTTTTTGTCCCAAAGGACAAACATTTCCAGCCAGCGCCTTGTGCGAGTTCATGGCAGACAGACACCTACCTTGGGAAAACTTTAAAAGCCGGGCCAGGCTATAGGGGTGGAGGCATGGTGTCAAGTCATCTCTGAACTGGAGGGATGCTAACCAGGTGAGAAACGTCAAGGGGCATGAACGCAGGGGGAAAGCTGTTTCCCCTAATTAGCTGCGACCTAACGAGCCATGACACCACCTTTGAGCCCCAATTCGCTGCCTCCTTACGAACACCACGGCCTAAGAAGGGTCAGGATCCCGTTAGAATACAAGGGAATGATGCACAAAGGGCAAGTTTGGCGGCCAGGCCCCCAGCGGGTCTTACCTCCCGGCGTCCAGCTCCCGGCCGGCAGGGCCTCCCACGTCCGTCAGGCTCGCGGCCGAAGCAGCCAGCTCCCCCGCAGGCCTCTCCCCGGCCCCGGACCCG